ACCATAAATCCTTTTAACCCACTTGGAAAGCCATGTGATAAATATGATGCAAAAGCCATGAAGTGTTCCTTCCCGGACACAGAGGGTTTCTGGGGAGCCAGGAATGACCTTTCTTGACTTTGACAGTCCTTAAACAGGTGTTCACTTTGTAACTATATACTATATGGAAGGTGTATGTGCCCTTCCATGTTTGTGACCAAAAAAATGTTAAGAAAGAGTTCTCCTTTGCTTTTACCGATGAGTCTTATACTGGGAACTTGTTCTAAAAAAAATATGCACAAAGAAGTTCTCTGTAGCATTATCTGAAAAGCAAAACTGGAAGCTACCTAATTATTCATCAAAACAAGAATCATTTTGCAAACTATGGTAATAAAAGTATTACAAAGGATTCTGGTAATTGAAAAGACTTCAAGCACATTTCTGACAGCACAATAAAAAATGATTTGCAATCATGTAAGTTCATACTTATGTGCATAAGGATTAGGAGAGAATATTACAAATTGTTATGATATAGGAGCTCTGGGCAATTTTCTCTATAAATTTGTATTATTGTTGGATTATCTTTACCACAAATTGAGAACATGTGGTTCAAGTGCAAAGGACAGGAACATCTCACTGGAAAGGACTGCCTGTGTCTAATCACGCAATGATCACCAAACATTCTGCCCAAATGTTCTCAGAACAATGTAGCTGTTCATAGGACACAGCAGAACAGGAAAGTCTAAGAGGAAGAGCTGTGTCATTGGTCTTTCATTTTGCTTCAATGTTTTTATCCTCTCAAAAGTTATTTTTCTACCAGTTAACATATCCCCTAGGATGATCCGTGGAACTTATTAAAATATCTTCCCAAGAACTTACTGAGCATCAGATAATAACAACCTTACACTGTTGCTGGGCAGATAAGGCATTCACCTGGATTTGGAAAAAGTCATGGATCAAGGGTGAAAGTCAGCGGTTTGCCAGTTGCAAAAGGTACAATGTGATGAACTGCCAGCAGATTGCACAACTAACTACCCTAGGCAAAAATGTTGAGTCAGCCTGAGTTGAGGGATGCTGGTTAACTGAGGCTTTAAAGATCTTGGAAGGTCAGTGGGATCCTAAAGGCTGCCCCTAGGGCTGGGAGAAAGGAACAATGGGGGCTTTTCCACGAGGCTGGGAGAAGACCCAAAGTGCAAAGCCAGGAAAAGAAATATAAAACTGAAGAGATGAGTTGAGACTCAATTATGGGTGGGTTAATACATCTAGACTAGACCCCTCTTCCCCCCACCCCCTACCCCCCACCCCTGTTGGTAATAGTGACTCACTGAGGTGGTTTGAACAGAGGAGCCATGTGCTTGAAGGAGCGGTTGGCGAGACTCCCCGGAAGTATTCCAGAGTGTGAACGGGCGGAAAGGCACACGCAAGTGATGAAGGGGGAAGGGAACAGTCCAGGTTTGGATCCAAGAGACTTGAAGTAGGGAGAGAATGGGAAGGGAAACAACGAAAGGTGGGGAAAGTCTAGGGTCTGGGTCTGTGGAGGCTAAAACTCTGGGCCCCAACCCCCTCATCACCGCTCACTACTCCTCCAAGCAATTAGCCACTTTTCAGGCCTCAATTTTCTCTGTGTAACAGGACAGCCTGCCCTCTGATGGTGCCGTTGGGGATCAAAGGTACAGGATGATGTTTGGTGAACAACAAGGGGCCTTACAAACTGAAATGAAGAAGAATGACCCAACTAGGAGATGGGCTGAATAGTGGAGGAAGGAAGAGAATCCCAAGCTCTGCAACCTGCATTCACGGTACTTCCCCCCATCTGTATCTACTCACGGAGGTCGCCAAAATTCTTTCCTTGCATTTGACTTTTCAACGTATTGTTTCCCTCTTGGATCTCATTCAGAAATTGTTATATCATTGGGCTTACGTTCTAGAACGTGCAGAAACAGCAAAGGAACAGAGTCGCTTTAGATCCACACGACGGCCAGTTCCATTTCTAAAAAACACATTCTAAAACGCAATCAACTCTCGCAAAGTCCCACCTGAATTCACTGGGGAAAGAAGGCAAGAAAACAGTCTTCAAACTACAGAATGTATTTTTAAGGAAACGCAGCTTTATTACTTTCAAGTACAAACAGTAACTTGGACTTGACTAACCAAATGTTGCCTAATTGAGAGAACCTGCCTTAATGTACAGACATCAATGATTTATAGTTAGCACAATCACTCACAGTAGAATGCTTCCATACGATGCGTGAAAGTAACTTCTCATCTTATAAAGACATCTTGTCCCACATTCTCTCCGCTATCTGCTCACGCAGTCCCTTTCTCCTCTCACCCCACAGACACTTCAGATGCAAACTTCACCTCCTTCCCCCTAGATCACAATAGACATCAAATTAGTGAAACATGAGAAGATACATTTTGACCACGTTGCCACAGACGTCGGATTGGTGAGACCAGCCTTTTTCAACCTGAGCGCTCTCGTCGAGAGTACGAAGTCTAAATTAGTCGAAATGCGTCTGTTCACAATGTGAGTAGAGGGACACAGGGTAATTGTGAGCTTTTGTCATCTGCGTTAATAGTTTTCCAGGTTGAAATATGCAAAAACATTTTTCTCTGAGCACATTCATGAAGCGCAGACGTAGCTGGGTTCTCTAGGCGGCGACGACAGCACGGGGTTACGACTCGTCGGGACCGTAATACTAACTGGAAGCGACCGAAGTCCCCTGTCGTAGGAAGACCGGAGACACCCTGAAACAACCCGACAGCCAACACCCGTTTGAACGGAGCACGATCATTCAGCCTGATAAGGGAGTGGTACAAAGACTACCCAGGACTCCACCGGAGGATTTATTCTGGGGAACACTTTCCTAGAGTAGGCACAAAGGGACCCTCTGCTCCCACGCTGCCGAAGACGCCTAGTGGGCATTTCTGCCCAAGACGCTAACCTGCTCTTGCCATCACACTCTGTCTGGGGGTCGCGTAATCCTCTGGGGTGTCTTGCAAATATCGTGGCCAGCACCGGCATAACCAGGTAGGAAGGCTGTGGCACGGGGACAGACCTCAAGAGCTTCCCTCCTGCCCTGACAAATCCCGTGTCCCTAAAGGCAAAGGGGACCGTGTGGCCCGCCCCAGACGGCGTCCTAGAGCAGTGATCTGATTCTGCGCGCTTCCTGACTGAGGAGGGCACCTGCAGGTCGCCCCAGCCTGCCAGAGGCCAAGCGGAGGCCCCGAGACTGGTAGAGCGAGTGGCGGTGGAAGCTTCACCTCCAGGCCCCCAAGAAGCCAGGGTGCACTGTCCCCGCTTCAAGGAGCTGGCCGCGTTTGGCCAGAGCAGCGGCGGAAAACCCGGCTGCACCTCCATCCTTCGCCATTTCTGTTAGGTCGAAATGCCGAACCGAACAAGCCACTTCTCGTCTAAAATGATACCGTTTACAAAAATATTTCTTTTCTCCTGAAGGGGTTTTACAAATGCAGAGCAGTGACCACTCTCCCGAGCGCAAACACTGGAATGATTACATCACCCTCATCCACACTTCGCCGAGTGTCTGCAATGGCCACAAGGGTCTTTTTTAACTGTGAAAAATGAGGCGCGATCTAAAATTTAGTAACAGTATTTATTCCCTACCTTCCACTTATAAAAAGCTATCCAAACGTGTGCACCTTCCCGTGGAACTTTTCAAAGTCTAGCCCCACCCCTGAAAAGAAGGCTTCCTTCCTATTCCTCTGACAGGTCTGAGGGTCAGCCTGGTACCAGTTTTGCCGAATTTGACTTCTTACTTCAAACAACGGGGCTGGAGGAAATGACTTTGCTTTGGAATGTTAGAACTTCCCCCTCCCTCAGCTCTCCTGGACCCCCAGCCCCGCCCTTATGGAGCTGAGAGGTGAGGAGCCCCTCCCTCCCACCACACGTCTTCACTCAAGAAATCCAACGCTCATCAAGAAAGGATGGAGTCTATGTGCTCAGGACTTGCGAATTTTTCAGAAATGAGCATGTTCACAAGAGAGGAAAAGGCAGCTGCCTCCCCTCCGAGCTAAGGGAGCGCAAGTCAGGGCGCGGGGAAGACAACCTTGTAAGGCCATGAAAGGGGACTAACAAACTACAGCTTTAGCTACCTCCTCCCCACCCTCTGATGCTCCAGTTTGCTTTATTCTTTCAAAGGACGCGTTAGCTCTTCATTTTCACAAAAGCCGGCCATTGTATGGCTAAATCCGGCATCTATAAAGCACTGAAATAACCCGCTCAGGTGGACCGAAGGCCTTTGGTGAGGAGGAATCTAAGTGAGGACTCCAACCACTGCCTCAAGTACTGCTGTCCCAACCAGCTGCGCCACGCTACCCGATGGGAACTTCGGTGTCTGCTGAAAATTGAAATGGGACGTGCCGTAAAAGTGCCAGGTCGGTCATTAAAAAAAAAAAAAAAAATTCCCACAAATGACTATAATTCCTGCTGGATGTATCTGGGAGTGAGGTGGGCGTAGGGATGGCCATCAGATCCGCAATCTCAGTTATTTGTTCAGGTTGGAGGAAGAGGAAAAAGTCATTTGCTCTCATCACCGCCCAAAGTCTCCTGAGGCTCCTGTGAAATCGGTTCCGGCCGCAATTCTGGTTCCGGTTCTTGGAAGACAGAGCGGAGCCCACGCACAGAACCCATGGCCTTTGGGGATGGAGAACACATTACTCTTTTACCTCATCCCCTTACAGTCTCAACAAGAATATTAACTAAACCTGTCCTTGAAGCCAAACACGAATTCTCTAGAATATTAACTTTACAAAGGCCTTCAGAGGTCACCGTCGGGCTCTGTGCTACTGCGGAATGTGGGAGGGCTGGGTCCCCACCAGGGCTGGCATCATTCTCAGCTCTGCCGGGAGCCTTTCTCCCACCTGTAAAACGGACAGGCTTTCATATTCGCGTCAGCAAGAACAAATAACACAGTCCCAGGTGGAGGCTGCAAATGGGGTTCCAGTTCGTATGTTCACCTTCAAACTACTTTCCTGTTGGCCCGCGGATGAAACGCGCCCCCTCACTTTCCTGTAACACAATGGGAAACAGCTGAATTGTCCTACAGCTCGCTCCCTCTACTTTGTCCCTAATGTTGTGACGATGATGTCAAAACACTCCCGTTGCGGATCACAGAATTACCTAACTTTACAGGAATGACAGGGTAGAGGATGCAAACTGGTAGCCCACAGACATGCTTGGTTTAGCTCATTGTATTTTACACTATCTACAATTAGTTGTCAACATTTCAAAAATCAGGAGGTTTCAAATGAAAATCTGGATTTCTACTCCCTCTTAAAAAAATCGTGAAGACCCACCACCACTGAGAGCTGAGTGACTGCCCCATCAAATACGCTTTCCGTGATTCAGCACAACCCTAACACCTTTCAGCCATTTATGTTATCTGCATGGCTGCCCTGGGCATCTGAGTTTGTAAACCCTAATCTAGGCCCAGGGATAAAAAGTTAACCTGCCTGAAGCCACGTGTCAAGTTAGAGGCAAAGGAGGAAGAACAAGGTAGGTTCAGGTACCTTTCCTTCGAAGACAGCCCACTATCTTTTTAAAGAACCAAGATTCTCCTCAGCATTTCATCCAGTTGCTAACATCTTGCTAACATCCAATCTGCTAACATCCAAATGCTAACATTCTAGGGAATCTGTTATATTTTCTACATTTCCCCTGGGTCCATCTGACTCCCTTATAGGTAATAACTCTGTACCAATGATTTCATTTAACTATTATCTTCAACCCAAAAGAAACCATGAATCAGACAAAACTGAAATACCAACTTTTGCCCACACTTCAGTAGATGCAAGACCAAAACCTCAGAAATCACTTAGCTTAACACCTGGCTATACAGACAGGGAAAATGGGGCCCAGGGAAGTGATATAGTGAGGTCGCAGGGTTCCTAGGTAACGGGGCCAGTCTTCGACCTTCCAGCTCAGTGCCCTTTCTACTGTACCAGTCACCTGTGTGCACTCACCCAGGCGGCAGGGGACCGATGGCCAGCTTGCTCCACACGGAAACGAAAACCATAGAACTCCCTTACATCTCAGACCTGGCCAACCCTGACTCTGCCAAGTACTAGGGTTTAGAATGTGTTGTGAACAATTTATAGAACTTGATACGCCCTGGAAGACAGACCTTCTTTAGAACTGGTATGTGGTGGAGAGTTTATGAATGTCACAGGACTCGGTGGTCTTGGTAACACTGGCTATTATAAAAGCTAAGCCCCACGTGAGAGAAGTTGCTGGAACAACATCATAGCACCTTTGCTTCAACTTCAAAAGAAAAAAAGGCGATGGTAAAAAGCTTTAATAATAGACTGAATGTGTTTTTATAGGCAACCAATTAGCAGATTAATGAGCCATTTAACTTTCTTTACTTAAAACCAATATTCAA